AGAAGACACAATTTCTACCCAGACAGGTAAGTGAAGGTGCAGAATTGGACTGGACAATTTTATATTTCCAAACAGATCTGTATTGATTTAAACAGTCTACCCTATCCCTTTCTAAAGGCTTGGATACATCAGTTAAAAATGATCTGAATCTAGTTCAATTATGCCTCTCCACCCAGTGTTCAATCCCAGCCTTGAAATGACAACTTTACAGGCTCTCCACTAAGTAATTGAACTTGGATGTCGATAAACCCTGCATAAGGTGCACTGAGTTGATCTTAGCATTTCTGATGGTAGAAACAAGGAAACATGTCTCATGGACATGCAGAGCCTAATCTCTGCAATAGCCAGTGTAGTGTAGTGGTTAATGTGTCAGATTAGGAAATCCAGGTTTCAATCCCCACACATGCCATGGAAGCTTGCTGGGTGACCTTTGGCCCATCACTCACTCTAAGCCTAACCTACCTTACAAGGTTGCTGTAAGAATAAAACAAAGGAGATAATGATGTAAGCTTCTTTGGGTCCCCATTGGGGTGAAAGGTGGGATATAAATAAAGTAAATAATTAATTAACAATAGTTCAAAACTAGTGCCAGTGCCATGATCAGAAATAAATGCAAAAAGATGTGTTGAATCTATCTGGCATCAATTTTATTGTGACACTTCAACTTTTCCCCCACAGAAAACATTATGTGTGTGTGTTTGTGTGTGTGTATAAAATGGGGTGGATCCAGCCAACTTTTTCATGCAGTCTTGCCCATGGTCCTTACTGCAGACCATGTCCCACATGGCTTTTGTTCATGCAGGTCCTATGATCCCCAGCAGAGCCTTTTTGTATGGTCTAAGGGGGACCCTACCATTTTTGCCAGTAGAAAAGATGGTTGGCCCTAAATCCATTGTTGTCATTGCTGGCTACAGTTGCTGTCCTAATCTCATTCAGATGCTGTTCACTGTATCAAGTGCCCAGAAGACCAGTATGCAAACAAGAACGAAGAGCGGAGTATCCCAAGGTTATAACTTTCCTGTCCTATCAAGAGCCCTTGGGGATAGTTTTGGTTTCTCTTGCAACGTCCCTTGCCGTCACCACAGTACTGGTGATACAAATCTTTCTAAAGAACTGGAACACTCCCATTGTCAAAGCCAACAATCACAATCTCACTTGCATTCTTCTCATCTCCATTCTACTTGGCTACCTCTCCTCCTTGTTATTCATTGGCAAGCCTGGGAAGATGACCTGCCTTCTCCGGCAAACAGCTTTTGGAGTTATTTTCTCTGTTGCTATTTCTTGCATGTTGGCAAAAACTGCCACTGTATTTCTGGCCTTCATGGCAATACAGCCAGGAAACAAGATGAGGAGATGGCTAGGGAAAAGAATGGCCAACTTCATTGTTCTCTCCTGCTCCCTCATTCAAGAAGGTATTTGTATTGTCTGGCTATTGAGCTATCCTCCCTTTCCAGAGGTTGACATGTACTCGCAGGCTGGGCAAATCACAGTGGAATGTAATGAAGGCTCCACTGCCATGTTCTACACTGTCCTGGGCTTCATGGGGTTCCTGGCCCTCATCAGCTTCACTGTTGCTTTCTTTGTCAGAAGCCTGCCTGATACTTTCAATGAAGCCAAGTTCATCACTTTCAGCATGCTGGTGTTTTGCAGTGTTTGGATCTCTTTTATCACACCTTACCTGAGCACCAAAGGGAAAACCATAGTAGCTGTTGAAGTCTTTGCCATCTTGGCCTCCAACACTGGAATACTGGTTTGCATCTTTCTCCCCAAATGCTACATCATCTTGCTGAATCCTGATTTAAACTTCAAGAAGTTTTTAATCGAGAAAAAGAATTATTCAACTTGATTATAAATTAATAGGTCTGATTACCCCCCTGTTGCAGTCATTTTTTACCAAAAAATAAAAAAGTGAAGCAAATGGTAGTTGCATGTACATGAATCTTTAGCCAAACTAAACAATTAATTGGAGGTGAGTTGCGGGTGTGAGAAATAAATTATGCAAATGAAGGAGAAAAGTCATATTGGAACACTTTCACTTCACGTAGAATTCCTCATATTTTGTCTACGAAGGATTTGCCCTGCCCAAGTTTCTCAGTAATTTAGGCTCTCTGGCTAGGATATGGGAGACGGAATCTTTGCTCAACCATTAAGTTCACTGGATCAAAAGGACAATTACTCTTTTTCAGCCTAACACACCTCACAAGGTAGTTGTGAGAATACAGTGTGGGAGGTGTGACTGATGTATGCCATTCTCAACTCCTGAGAGGAAAACTGTATAAAAATGTAACTGATTCCCAAAACAAAAAGTATTAGAGAAAATCCAACAGCAATTTTAACCTATGCAAATGAAACCCATTTTAGCTCTGAATGTTTATGCAAGTCTACTATCATGTTTCCCATTACAACATTTTCATCTTTTAGTTTTAGCTCTGAATGTTTATGCAAGTCTAGTATCATGTTTTCCATTACAATATTTTCATCTTTAGTCTTGGTGTTTGTACATGCATTTCAGCACTTGATGGCAGTAGTATAAATTGATAAATTTCATGTGTAATTGAACTATCACAGACTATGACCAAATGATTACTTCCTATGAAACACTGTTGTTCCATTCAAACCATGATTTAATAAAATTAATTATAATTTTTGTTGGCTATTCCACTACCTAACTTTCACTATTCCACTAACTATGGAATAGTTTTCCATTGGCAAAAAAAGGAAGAAACCTTTCATAGCCCAGAAAGGTTGCACTGAGTATCATGATACCTGAATGGTTAAAAGACATGTGGGGATTGGGTCTCTTATGGGGAGAAGAATGAGATAAGATTCAATAAAATCCTTGGATGGATCCGATGGAAGATCAGCCATACCATGGTGTGAAGTACATTAATTAGTCACAGAGTCTGAACTACAATTTTACACTATGCACATTTGCAGATATGCTGACTTAATCCTTATGTTACCCACTGTGACCCTTGCTGCATTGCAGGTCAGTTCACTGGAACTGAACAAAGGCAGTGAAATCAGCAAGCATTTGTCAAGACAGAGCAGAATCTGAGTAATCACAAATTGTGCATAATGTACCATGATTTTGTATTATGTCTGAACTGAAACAGTGTGTCTTAATTGAATTGCTATACAGATCCAGCTGTGATTCATGATATGTCAAATATCCAAATGATGAGACATCAAAGGATGGAATAGGGTGTGACTTAGAGGTACAGCATTGTATGCAGAAGGTCCCAGGTTCAAAACCTACCATCTCCAATTAAAGGGAATAGACCGTAGGTAATGGGAAAGACTTCTGCCAGAGACCTGGATAGTTTCTGCCTTTCAGAGTAGACAATATTGACTTAAAAATATATATATTAATAAATATTTATTGGTGAACAAAAGGCAATAAAAAGGTAATAAAAGTTATATTTTTGACTTTGATAGACCAAAAGCTTCAGGTTCAGGACACAAAGCCCAAATGGTTATCACATCCACAGTCTTCCTTTAATGACACAACGTGTCCATATTATTTCAGTTTCAATGGAGATGTTTGCATCAATTATCAACATTCCCATTTCATCAATTAGCCAACATCTCTTGAGACCCTTTGCACTTTTGCTGAGTATAGATAATAGCCAATGGGAGACTTCTCTTTTTGCATAAAGCATGAGATGTGAAAGAAACTAACAAATGGCTCTACAAAGACAGATGAAGAAAGCAGAACGCACTGTACAATATTATACAGAACCTTGAAATTTCTCATTTTTTCCTGAAATAGGTATTTACTTCATTATCTTCTTTAACCTCTCTGTAAAATAACATGGTCTTAAGGCTACAAATATGCTATCACCTATCATGCTGAATCCAGCCTAAAATAGCCATCAATGGAATGGGATTTTCCTGCCTCTCTCCTTCCATTGCAGCCCAATAACCTCCTCAAAATGCTGCTCTGGGGCTCTAGGGACCTTTGAAGTACCTGAGATGAAGGGGCTCTGCAGCAGAAAGTGTGAATTGGTGCAAATTGCCAATTCAATCTGGATCTGACCCATTCTGTGAAATCTTGAAGTTCTCCTTGTGCACTTTCTACACCTGATGCATAAGTGTGATTATGCCTTGCTTCCTTAGTTGTCTTTTGTGCTGGTAAACTAAAACTCTCCAGGACGTCCATGTAGGTGATGGTGGGAGGTGCCATCAAGTCGCAGCCAGCTTTTGGTCACCCTGTAAGGTTTTCAAGGCCAAATGCATCCAAAGGTGGTTTGTCATTTAATGCCTCTGTGTTGCAATCCTGGTATTCCTTGGTGATCTCCCATCCAAGTAGTATCCAGGGCCAGCCCTGCTCAGCTTCTTTGATCTGATGAGATTTGGCTAGCCTGGGCTATCCACGTCAGGGTTTCCTTGTAGGTAAGATACTCCGAATGACCAAAGAATCATTTTGGCTGCCTTTTTAAATCCTGAACTGGATTAACAATGGAGAAATACAAGCCAGCACTCTACTGCATGATCTCCCACCCTACAGAACCTTCCTTTTCTTCCTTTTCCTAAACTTTCCTACTGGTCAGGCAGTTGCACAGTCTACACTATCCTTCTTTGTCTCTGAGCTGAATCCTGTCTCCCTCTGAGGAACCTAGAGATTGCAATAGCTGCATACTGGGTGTTAGGAACATGGGTTGTTGCCCCCATCCCACCCCCGAATCCACATTGGACTGTGCTTTATATTCATCTTATTGGAACTTTTGTATGAACACTCTGAGGAGGGGGGGACAAGATTTATTTATTTTTTAGTACTTACAAGGAAAGCGAGCATAAGCCAGGGATATCAGAGGGTTGTTCACCCATTGCCTATCTTATAAATTCAATTTTTTTTAAAAAAAACCCTGTTCACTTTGCTTTAATCCTAAAAGGAAAGCTACATATCAAATACATGCTTATATAATACTGCTTATGTACATTATGTTAAATTGTATTTCAGGACCTGAAATAACTACGTGTATTTGATATCAAACATCATGCATGGAAACAAGACACTGATCACAGAGCTTATCCTTCTGGGATTTGAGGAGCTCCACGACCTTCAGATCTTTCTATTCCTGGTGTTTCTGGTGATCTACATTTTGACCATAGTGGCCAACTTCCTCACCTTTCTCTTGATAGTGACTGATCAGCATCTACATACCCCCATGTATTTCTTTCTGGGGAATTTATCCTGCCTGGAGATGCTGTACAGCTCAACCATCCTACCCAGGTTACTGTCTGGTCTTTTGACCGGGAAAAAAGTCATATCTTTCAAACAATGCCTCACACAACTATATTTCTTTGGCTGCCTGATTGGTACAGAATGTTATCTCCTCTGTGTAATGTCTTACGATCGTTTCTTAGCTATATGCAAACCCTTTCATTATGCAACTCTTATGAATGAAAAGCTTTGTATCCAGTTAGCAGCTGGCTCCTGGATCAATGGGATTGTGTTTACCTCTATGTATCTGGCCTTTGTGTTACAGCTTTGGTACTGTGGTCCCTATGAAATTGATCATTTCTTTTGTGATTCTCTATCACTCATTGAAATATCATGCAATAATACCAGTTTCGTGAAACAGCTCAGTGTAATCCTGTCTTTCATGTTTACTTTTCCACCATTTCTTTTGACTGTATTGTCCTACGTATATATTATTGCTGCCATCTTGAAAATTCCATCCACTGCTGGAAGGCAAAAGGCCTTTTCCACGTGCTCTTCTCACCTGATTGTTGTCTCTCTTTTCTATGGTTCCTTAATCATTGTGTACATAATACCAAAAACTGAAACTGTGAGAGACGTTAACAAAATATTTTCTCTTTTGTACACAGTCTTGCCCCCCATACTCAACCCTTTGGTATATAGTTTGAGAAACATGGATGTCAGGGAAGCTCTGAGAAAGGCTGTTGGGAAGATTCTGGAAGGGCAATTTGTGAATCAGACATTAAAAGTATGATGGTCTCTTTCACCAGACCTGAAGGTATGACGGAGGTTAATGAATAACTTTTTTTTAAAAAGGAATGATTTACAGATTTTCTTTTTCAGGAATCTTCTTGTCTGTCATTCACTTTGTTCCAGCCAAGGCTGCCAACATCCACACCACACTGATCAGCACCTTCACACACAGTGTACTTCTTCTTGAGGAATTTGCCCTTCTTAAAAACATTCTACAGCTCAACCCACCTGCACAGTCTTAAGACTACAGTCAAAGCTGTTTCTTTCAAAGGATTCATTACGCAACTATATTTCTTCCCTTTCTTGTGGGGCACAGAACATAACCTCCCCTCTAATATGCCTTATGATGATGTCTTAGTCATCTCCAAGTCCCTGCCTTAAGCAACTATTATGAAAGGTAAGCTTCATACTCAGTTAGCAGCAAGCTCTTGGATCGATGACATGGTAACTATCTCTATAGTTATGTGTTTGCATTTTAGCACTATGACTATGGTATCATAGTCCCAATGAAATGCGTCATTTCTCCCAGGTGAGTCTCTCCCATCAAGAAAACTGTTCTGCAATGATGCCAGCCTAATGAAGCTTGCTTGTTATATCATGGGTTTTAAATTTGCTTCCCCCATTTTATTTTGACTCTGTTATCTTATGTGCATATTACTGGTGGAAGAGCTTCTGGCATCAGAAGAAAACTCTTTGGGAGGGAGGAAAGCTATGATGCAAGCCTTCACTCCTATCCCATGGAATATAAGACAACATGCATGGGGGTTCCACCCAAGCACTGACTAGACTCATACTTGCTTAGCTTTATGTGCCATCAGAGGTTATTGTTCTTGTACTTTTTGTTAAATAAAAAATAACATTTTGTAAAGTGTAATGGGTGAATCCAGCTATTCTTTGTCTTCCTCCAACTTAAGTTGCTGTTCCTCCAACAGAACAGTCACCTAAGTTGCAGGAAGACTTGGAGAGAGACTTCAGAAGTGAGACAAAAGAAAAGGATACGATGGAGTAGGATTCACCCCAATATTTCTGAATGACGACTACTATGGTAAGTTAAAAACTAACAAATGCATACAACTTTGTGAACCAGGGGATACTTGGTTATAGCTTGGTATAAATATAGTTCTGTGTACTGAGTACACACTTAATGTACTCAAACAGCAGATGAAATAGGAGGGTGATGTTATTACAAAGATACATGTTAGTGTTGCTATCCTGAAAACCCCTTCTGTCACTGGGAGGCAGAAGGCTCTCCCTCCTTTTTTTACACCTTATTTTAAATTTTAATTAATTGAATTATTTAGTAATATGCTTTGGGGGATGTATGTTGTTTGTATTTTAACTGTTGTATCTTTTAAGGTTGTGATGGACTTTGCCGATTAGCAACCAATAAATGATGATGATGATGATGAAGATGCTGCTGTTGCTGCTAGCAAAATATCATGTGACCTGGGACCACTAGAAAAGAATGTTCCTTTAAATGGGACTTTATTGCCTAACAGGACTGAGCCCTAAGTGATTTATGGCTCATATAATTTATTTTACACTACCCATGTGAGGTAGATTACCATTATGTCTAAGAATAGGTTCTAAGGTCACCTAACAAACATGTGAATTTAATTAGAATGTTTCATGTTCAGATGAACATTACCCCATTGTAATTCAAACTAAAAGTTCTGTTCTGTGACCTGTATCATTTCTAATTTTTAGAATTTATATTCCATCTTCTGTGTCACCACAACGACACTGAAGTAGTGTACAGCCAATTTCAAAACTGTAATAATGTATTAAAGCAATGTCCTAGACTTCATTGGCTTGCCTGGTACATCTTTTTGGTGGCAATTTTGTTTACTCATAATGAAGCTTTGTTCTGGCCAGAATTTCAAGCAGTGCCTTGCAAATAATAAAGAGCACATTGGCTCAGGATCACTGAAGAACTATACAAGAAAGACCTTGATGTCCTTGACAACCACAACGGTATAATCACTGACCTCGAGCCAGACATCCTGCAATGTGAAGTTAAATAGGCCTTAGAAAGCATTACTAACAACAAAGGTAGTGGAGGTGATGGTATCCCAGCTGAGCTATTCAAAGTCTTAGAAGATGATGCTGTTAAAGTGCTGCACTCAATTTGCCAGCAAATTTGGAAAACGCAACAGTGGCCACAGGATTGGAAAAGGTCAGTATACATTCCAATCCCAAAGAAGGGCAATGCCAAGGAATGTTCAAACTATCGCACAATTGCACTCATATCACAAACCAGCAAGGTCATGCTCAAGATTGTACAAGCTAGGCTTCAGCAGTACAGGGATAGAGAACTGCCAGAAGTACAAGCTGGGTTTTGAAGAGGTAGAGGAACTAGAGATCAAATTGCCAACATTCGCTGGATTATGGAGAAAGCAAGAGAGTACCAGAAAAACATCTACTTCTGCTTCATTGACTATGCTAAAGCCTTTGACTGTGTGGATCACAACAAACTATGGCAGGTCCTTAAAGAGATGGGAGTACCAGACCACCTCACATGTCTCTTGAGAAACCTGTATAAAGGTCAAGAAGCGACAGTTAGAACCGGATATGGAACAACTGATTGGTTTAGCATAGGAAAAGGAGTACGACAAGGATGATATTGTCACCTTGCTTATTTAATATATATCATTCCTTGGCAAATAGAAGGGGAAGTCATGGAAGTGGTGACAGACTTCATGTTCTTGGGATCCCACATCACCGCAGACTGTGACTGCAGCCATGAAATTAAAAGACACCTGCTCCTTCGGAGGAAAGCGATGGCGAACCTAAACAGCATGATAAAAAGTAGAGACATCACCCTGCCAACAAAAGTCCACATGGTCAAAGCAATGGTATTCCCAGTAGTCATGTATGGCTGCGAGAGTTGGACTATAAGGAAGGCTGAGCGCCGAAGAATAGATTCTTTTGAACTATGGTGCTGGAGAAGACTCTTGAGAGTCCCTTGGACTGCAAGAAGATCAAATCAGTCAATCCTAAAAGAAATCAACCCTGACTGTTCCCTGGAAGGCCAGATAATGAAACTGAAGTTCAAATACTTTGGCCACCACATGAGAAGGGAGCACTCACTGGAGAAGACCCTGATGCTGGGAAAGATTGAAGGTCAAAGAAGATGGGGACAGCAAAGGATGAGATGGTTAGACAGTGTCATAGATGCAATGAACATGAAATTGAGCAAACTTCAGAGGACGGCAGAAGACCGGAAGGCCTGGCGTGATTTGGTCCATGGGGTCCTGAAAGGTTAAAATGTTCCCCCACTGGTTTTTGAATGTTGTGGTTTCTAATAGTAGTAGTAGAAAGAGTAAGAGTCCAGTAGCACCTTAAAGACTAACAAAATTTGTGGTAGGGTATGTGCTTCCATGAGTCACTTCTTCAGATTTATTTCCATTTATTCTTTGCATTCTCCTGGATTGAGTCCTCCTGGACCAAATTGAGACCTAGGTTTCCTGTCTCATTACCAGTGCTGATATCTCCACACCTACTCCCCCTCTGCATATCACACCTAATCCAATCATGCCTGCCATTGCCATTTGGTATCTGAAATCATCTTTATAAAGCTTATATCTCTAGTACCTCATGTTACATTTTATGGCACACATAGCCCAGCCTGACAAAGTGACATTTATGTCAGATCTGGCCCTCATAACAAATGAGTTTGACACCTCTGCACTAGTGTATTGTGTCTTCTCTGAGGGATATGGTTACAAGCACATTAACGGTGTGACTTCAGAGGACAGAAGGGGGATTACATTAGTGTATTAAGGGACAAATCCAAAGGCTTCCAAAGGCAATTTCAGTCATGTCTTGCCTTCCAAAGGCTTCCAAAGGCAATTTCAGTCATGTCTTGCCTTCCAAAGGCTTCCAAAGGCAATTTCAGTCATGTCTTGCCTTTCTGCCAGTACCTTGTGCTCATTGACTATTTCAAAATTGGCATGGACCATAGTGTACAGATCAATAGAACCTGACTGAGTAGGGTGCTGAATGCTATTCCTTCTAATGCTCACTTTGGAAAAGAGTTCAGTTTTTGGCCCATAGTGGGAATACACCAACCCATGCAGAGTGCAATATTACCAGTTTTACTGATGCCCTTAGGCTTCTACCAAAATTTCATAGAGATATCTTCTATGAAGAAAGTCCTAGGTCCCATTCACACTGGCCAGAGAACGTGGGGAGGAGGTGTGGCTTTTTGCTGCGCCGCACTTGTGACCCGGCCAAACACGATCAAATGCAATGGCAGGGAATCAGGGGTAGCAGTTTGTCGAGGCACGTTTCCGGTGTGCTTCATGCAGTGCTGGAGCGATCAGATGGAGGATGTCCATCTGTGGCCCATCACAAGCGTAAAATAGTGGAGTTTCTGCAGTAGCTTTTAACTCCAGATCTTTGGCGGGATGCAACGGCTTGCCAACAGGTGCACGGCGTTTGCCAGATGTGCTTGCGTGATCGCACCCATTAAATCTGTCTGACATCTGTGAGTATCTTGCGGCAACTTCTCTGTGTGATTGGAGCCCTAGATGGGCTTAGGTCCAGTTGGAGGTAAATATGGTTTGGCTGTTGCCTAAGATGCTGTTGGCCAAGATTCTGAAAAGCATGGGTTACAGAACAACAACTGGAGCCCTCCCTGAGAGAAATCCAGTCTTCAAAGGATACCACGAGGACACATAACTGTCCACTAAGAGATACCACAGAGGTGTGATGTCTATGGTTAAAGGCACAAGAGCACAGACCACTTGAAGCTACTGGATAGCCTTGGGCAAGCCATAGTTCTGTCAGAGCTGTCCTTGAAAGAGCAGTTCTTGAAAGAGGTCTCTCAGCCCTACCTACCTCACAGGGTGTCTGTTGTGCGGAAGGGAAGGGAAAGGAGTTTGTAAGCCACTCTGAGACTCCGAGTGAAGGGTGGGGTATAAATCCAATCTCTTCTTCAATCTCTTCTTCTCTAATCCCCTTCTCACAAATAGCTTTCAAGCAATAAGTAAAATTTAGAAAATGACCAGGTTATAATCTTTAGTTGACTCCACTGTGATCAAAATACCAATGTGAAGACTGGAATATGAATCAGTTGTCATGATTTTACTTAGGTAATATCAGTAGTAACCCTTCATCTGCTGCCTTCCCTTTATTTGTGTTTAAGGCTAACCAGATAAATTAGCACATTGTGAAATATTCTGAAAGCAGACCCCTTGCTTTGTGCTTTTCTCAAGGCTTTTTTCACCTCGTTGTTTCTCAAGCTGTATATGAGTGGATTGACTAAAGGGGGAAGGATGGTATACAAGAGAGAAAAAGCTTTGTTCAGGGCAGATGAGTTTGGTAACATATACACAGTCATTAAAGAGCCATAGTAAGTAGAAACAACAATAAGGTGAGAAGAGCAGGTAGAGAAGGCCTTTTGCCTTCCGGTGGTGGTTGAGATTCTTAGGATGGCAGTTACGATAAATACATAGGATGTGCAAGTTAGAAGAAATGGGGGCATTGTGTATACAAATAGCAAGATTACATTAACCCGTTCTACTAGCCCTGTATCACTGCAGGAGAGTTTTTTCAGGGGAACAGTATCACAAAAGTAATGATCAATTTCATTAGGGCCACAGTATGTTAACTGCAGCATCAGAACCATTATAATGGAAATGCCTATTAAACCACTGATCCACGACACAGCTGCTAACTGGATACACTTCTTAGTGTTCATAATTGTCCCATAATGCAGTGGTTTACAGATTGCCAAATACCTGTCATAGGACATCACAGACAGCAAATAACATTCAGCCCCTAAACAATAGCCAAAGAAAAATAATTGCAAGAAGCAACTGCTGAATGAAATGGGTTTCCCATTCCTCAAAAGGGTGTCCAGCATTACAGGGATGAGTGTTGAGCTGTAGCAGATCTCCAAGCAAGACAGGTTGCCAAGGAAGAAGTACATGGGGGTGTGAAGATGCTGATTGGTCATCACAATCACAACAATAAGAAGATTCCCTGCCATTGTCACCAAATAGATGAGAAGAAATCCTAGAAAGAGGAGGACTTGCAGATTCTTCAGATCTTGGAAACCCAGGAGGATAAACTCGGTGACAAGCGTTAGGTTTCCTTTTTCTCGCCATTCCATTCAATTAATGTTTCCTTTCTCAGTCATGGTGACATCTATGAGCCACTGTAACATAAACAATCAACATATATATTTAAGGCATTGAGAGCATTGTGACCTAATCTAATCTAATGAATTTGCAATTTAATTAGTTAATGCAATCTAATTAATTTGTATTTGTTCAACATCCAAAATAACTCATCTCCAATTATGCTTCATCTCCAAATTATGTCCTCCCTCCCTCCCTCCGTCCCTTCATTCCTTCCCCTTTTTGTTCATGGACACAAGGTCTTGAACAACCCACAACCATAGAATAATGACACACTTACAACCCACAACCATAGAATAATGACACATATTTTTTCTAAAGGATTTTAATTTAACTTTAAGAACATAAGAACATAAGAGAAGTCGATGTTGGATCAGGCCAAAGGCCCATCCAGACCAACACTCTGTCACACAGTGGCCAAAAATACCAGGTGCCATCAGGAGGTCCAGGAGGTCCAACAGTGGGGCCAGGACACTAGAAGCTCTCCCACTGCTGGCCCCCCAAAGACCAAGAATACAGAGCACCCCTTGCCCCAGACTGAGAGTTCCTATCTATACCTTGTGGCTAATAGCCACTGATGGACCTCTGCTCCATATGTTTATCTAATTCCCTCTTGAAGCCATCCATGCTTGTAGCCACCATAATCTCCTGTGGCAGTGAATTCACCTTTGGGTGATGAAGTACTTCCTTTTATTTGTTCTAATCCGGCTGCTCAGCAATTTCATTGAGTGCCCACAAGTTCTTGTATGTCTAGAAGAAGAAGCATGTATGTCTAGAAGAAGCATGTACATCTAGAAGAAGAAGCTGCCAAAAACTTTGTAACGGCTGATGTACAGTCATAGTTTACACCGAAATGTAGGGTTTGGGAAGCTGAATTGGGTGAGATGTTATTGTGCACCAAAATCTGCCTCTGAATACACAACTCTGTCTCCTTTTTTTAGCAAGAGTTTTTAGTGAGAGCCAGTTTGGTGTAGTGGTTAAGTGTGCGGACTCTAATCTGGGAGAACCGGGTTTGATTCCCCACTCCTCCACTTGCACCTGCTGATGTGACCTTGGGTCAGTCACAAGCTCTGGCACAGCTGTCCTTGAAAAAGAGCAGTTTGTGTCAGAGTTCTCTCAGCCCCACCCACCTCACAGGGTTTCTGTTGTGGGGAGGGGAAGGGAAAGGAGTTTGTAAGCCGCTCTGAGACTCCAAGTGAAGGGCGGGGTATAAATCCAATCTCTTCTTCTTCTTCTTAATCCACCATTATGTGTGAGATGGTATTGATAATGTCAGAACCACATTGACAAAATCTATCTGAAAAAAGGAATACCACAAACCTGCCATAAAAATTCATAGAAGGGAAGGCATTTAAACATGCTAACATAAACGATCAACACCCTGAGAGAACAGTAAGGGAAGATAAATAATGAGATTCTCCTGTTGGAATAATTATTAGTGCTAATGGGGAGCGCTTCCTCTACTCCACCTTCCTCTAATCCAGACGGAAATAAAATAAAGCTTAGTTATTAGATACGTTAGTCTTTTCCTGACGTCCAAAGGATATTTAGGCAATATCTTCAGGAGAGACTCGAGTTGGCAAAAAATTGTAATCTTATGTCCTGAGCCAGCGGCTTTATGTAGAATCCTAAAATTTAGCTCTAAAATTTAAAGCATGGAGCCACTGAATACACAACTCTGTCTCCTTTTTTTTAGCACGGGTGAATCCACCATTATGTGTGAGAGGGTGTTGATAATGTGAGAACCACATTGACAAAATCTATCTGAAAAGGGGATACCACAAACCTGCCATAAAAATTCATAGAAGGGAAGGCATTTAAACATGCTAACTTAGGCTGCGGTCACACGGAACATTAGCCATGCAAGAGAGACGGAAGACAGGTAGATTTTCCGGGTGCGATCTCACTGTCACATCTGGGACGCGTAGCGCTTCCGTTGCACAACCGAGGCTTCACAGTGAAAACGCGCTGCAAAAAAACTAGTACCTCGGAGGTACTAGTTTCCGGAAACTATGGGGCAAGGGCGGGCGTCTGATCGTGTTTCCAGTGGCATCCGGCGCCCACCCATGTCCCCCTGCGCCCAAGGGTTTCCCCCCCCAAGTCTCCGTGGATGCACACACGCACCTAATGGAGCATGCGCATTCATCGTGTACACAAAAAAGAACGCCAGTTTGCTGCACCATGCGCTTCTTCGTTGTGCGCAGGCTAGTCCTGTGAACGGCACCTCTCCCTACCCACGGAACCTCCACGGAACCTCCACAGGACCTCCACGGGAGGTCTGATCGCTTAACCATGCATTTGTTTGCCCCGGGGCACACAGCCCCGCTCCCCCCCCCTGCATTTTCCTGTCCGTGTGACCGGAGCCATAAATGATCAACACCCTGAGAGAACAGTAAGGGAAGATAAATAATAAGGAGATTCTCCTGTTGAAATAATTATTAGCGCTAATGGGGAGCACTTCCTTTACTCCACCTTCCTCTACTCCAGACGGAAATAAAATCAAGCTCAGTTATTAGATATGTTAGTCTTTTCCTGACATCCAAAGGATATTTAGGCAATATCGTCAGGAGAGACTCCAGGTGGCAAAAAATTGTAATCTTATCTCCTGAGCCAGCGGCTTTATGTGGAATCCTAAAATTTAGCTCTAAAATGTAAAGCATGGAACCACACTAGTGCTTCAACTGATTTAATGCCTAGTTCTAGCCTAATTGCCAGGGTGGCAATACATGAGGGAAGGTCCCCTATCTATTGTAAAAAAAAAAAAGGAATAGAGATTATCCACTGACTCGTTAATTGTTGTGATTCAAATTGAGGTACCATACAGAAACTGTGCAAGGGCTCAAGCTTTAAAAACCTGTAGCGCTGCTGGAAAGTACTAAGCACCCCTTGCATAATAGGAATGGATGATCTCTTTTATCACTCCTTTTAGAGTTCTGCAGGGCCTGTAAGATGGAGCTATTCTTCCAGGCTTTTGGGTGAGCCAGTGGGCGTCGAATACCATCTGACCACTCCTGTTATAATTTGTTATTATCTATTATATGATCCTCAGTTTTTGATTAGTTTGAACAACAGGCCCACCTTGGTTTAGCTGAAGTTAGGGTATCTTCCATCTGGAATCCCTTATGGGATTTAGCTCTCTCCGCCTTTAATTAAATAATACTGGGACACCATGGGAATAGCTTAAAGTAGTTGAACACCATCATTTTAGGGGTTATGATTTAATAGTTTTAAAGTCTGCTTTTATTGTACTATAACAAATGCTATAACCCACCATGAACACATTCATGGGAAGGGCAGGATAGAAATTGAACCAAATGGCTTTTTATCTATGTCTGTCACAATTTGGATTAAAGGGGAATCAAACACCCAGATACTTGTAGATTTTTACCCAATCAATTTTATAATTATCTTGTGTCCAGGAAGTGTTGGTATTAGATGGAGTCATTCTAAAGACCAGGACTTTGGATTTAGAATAATTTACCTCTAAGGGTAAACTGAAGCTCAAATACTTTTGCCACCAAATGAGAAGGGAGCACTCACTGGAGAAGACCCTGATGCTGGGAAAGATTGAAGGTCAAAGAAGATGGGGATGGCAAAGGATGAGATGGTTAGACAGTGTAATGGATGCACCGAACATGAAATTGAGCAAACTTCAGAGGACGGCGGAAGATAGGAAGGCCTGGCGTGATCTGGTCCATGAGGTCATGAAGAGTCGGACTCGACTGTGCGACTGAACAACAACAACAACAACCTCTAAGGGCTGGTGATCACAATAAAGGGGAAAGGCTTTGATTAAGTTCCTAAGTCCAACTCTAGTTCTAGAAAGCAAAAGAATGTCATCTGCAAATAACAAAATCAAAATAGGTTGCTTAGCTGAGATGACAGGGCAAAACTAGTGTTTGGGAAAGTGTTCATGAGCATTTCTGGTTTCAGGAAATAGTCATAGCAAAATGTCTTCATATGCTTAAGGATGTTGGCTGACCACTAGAGCATGAGAGATCGCTCCCATCCACACAAAAACAATCACAGATTCCATTACATATTCGATCATTCCTATAAGATCTGCCAGCAGGCACTAATCATACAACAGGAACATAAGTCCCCCAGAAAGTGAACATTCCTCCCAGACAGGTGATCAGCATTTTTACTTTTCTTAAGGAGGCAGCTGTTAAGGGCATCTGGTTTCACTGATTATTTATTTGCCAGTGCACAAATAATACAGGTGTGTCATATGGGTTTTCACAGTAGCATTATGAGGTGGCCCCATGTCCTGCTGTATAAACCATTTGAAACCCTCACTGGAAAGATCCATATATCTAACTCTGATTCTGCACATGAAGTATCACCACTCCTTTTCTTTTACCAACCCTATAGGTTTTCTATATGATAATGGACTTGCAGACCGAAAGGTTTAGGAACACTCAATAAGCTCAGAGGGAGAAGGAAGAATAGTACACTTTAGACTAGGATTTACCTTGGACAGAAAAGGGAAAAAAATGCCGAGGCTCAAACTTGTTAAGGGAGTTTCTTTTGATTACACTGGATTAGATTATTACAGCTGTGAGCTGCAATGATTTCCCCTTCTGCACAATCCCTTTGAAATGAATGGACCCTGAGCTGGAGATCACTTGCAGCAGAAACTAATTTAAGAAAAAAATTACCGTCATGAGATCAGAAGCGAGATGAAGGCACTTGTTCACTCTGAATTTCAGGCAGTCCAGAAGGCAAATTCCAAAATATCTCAACATTGTCTTAAGGAGTTTTCCATAAAATGGCTCAGTTTTGTGCATTGCTGAGCTTACTTATCTGGACCATTATTGATCCTATGAAGAAGCAAGGAACATGCCCCAAGCTAGTACTAGAGACTAGGTGTATAAGTCTTCTCAACGACACATGTAATGAGATGTCTAAAGGAGGAAATATAACTATATTTCTTCTCCTTGGAGATGATGACTAAAGAGAAACTATATAA